AATATAAGATTCGAAAAATTATAACTTTTACATTATAAAATTATTATAAATATCAAAATTAATTATATATTTAATTAATTATATATTTTTAATTAATTATAATATTTATATTTGAGAAAAATAAGTTTATTAGTTTTTTTTCCATTCTCGAGGCTGAGAAGCTGGCATTAATTTTCAATTTTTATGACAGTCATTTCGTTATTAATTGTATCGCTTATCCGCCTGTCTACGAAAGACAGAAATAGCGAAATAATACGCATTCTCGATTTAGCGCAGGCGTGTGAAAAGAATTGGACTGACGCCCAAATGAGAGCTGGCGGCGCCATTCAACGCCAACGCTACAGACACTTGTTCTAAAGTCAATCATCTTGAAAAAAAAAATCGTTAATTTGCATACAATGAATGAAACTCATACAAGTACAAATTGTATAATATATTGTTTACTGAATGTATTTATATTATATGCTTTAAAAACAATGTTTTTGGGATCTTCGATTAAAATGGATTTCAAAATGAATAAATCAAACTCGAAAAAGAAACAGAAATCTAACTTTGTTTTTTTTTAATTCTAAAATTTATTACTTTCTTATAATACTTTTAAAGTGACAAAATTATTACAAAATTCTTTTAAATCTTTATTTAAAAAAAATCACTTTTTCAATTTTTCTTAAAATCTATTGAGAACAAATATGAAAAAAATGACTTTTTTTTAAACAATTAGTTTAAAAAAAACTTTTTTTTTAAACAATTAATTAAAAAAAACTTTTTTTTTAAACAATTAGGAACGTTAAAACATTTATTACATAAATGAATGAATCAGTTTACTGACGTTTAACATAACTGTGTTCGATAATATAAACTACATAGAATGTCTGGCGAATATAAGGCGTACATTAGACAGAGGAGATGCTATACGATATTACGAATATCGGGCATAAGGATATTTCGAGCGCATTCGTCGGCCTCGTGTCCCTCGTCCTCGTCCCCCCTCATTGGCGGCCCCTCTAGCCGCATGTCCTCGCATCACAGGCTGTCCTTTAGAATTTGAAATGTTTCATGTTAACATTTGTACATAAAGCTTTTAAAACAAAATATTTTGAATTTTAAAAAATCTAAATTAGAGAGAGAGAGAGAGAGAGAGAGAGAGAGAGAGAGAGAGAGAGAAATATACTATATATATATATAATATAGACCCTACGCACAATACAAAGAATAAGAAATTAGGAATAAAGAATAAATAATTTTAACTCAGAAACTGTGTATTCCGATGATATATCCGATTTCTGATAGGTTTAAATTAAGTAAATTGTTTATTCTTTATTCCTAATTCCTTATTTCTGCTATTGTGCGCAGGATCATAGATAGATAAATAGATAGATAGATAAAAGCATTTATTATTGTTCTAGGACAAGCCCTCTAAGAACAAGATAGCAGATGAGTGATGTTACAAGATGAGAAGCGATTTAGAATTAAAAAAAAAATAATAATATACAACTTATTTGATAACGCAGAGCGGAGAAATAACAAAAGTGTGATTCGTATTAACATTGAGATATGAGCGAATAGCGAATCGATAGCATGTATACGATTCAAGAGAGTGCAACAGGAATAAGTAATCAAATGCAGTAACAAAGAAAAAAAAAAACAAAATAATATACAATAATCTAAGATTAGATAACAAAGAGAGAGAGAGAGAGAGAGAGAGAGAGAGAGAGAGAGAGGAGAAGTGGGAAGAGAAGGAGAGGGAGGAGAGAAAGAGAGGGGAGGAGAGGAAGTTTAACTAAGCTAAACTTTTTTAAATTAGAACCTGATCGAAATTTTTGCCGAAACTGAATCAAAGCATTCGGCTACATGTCAATTTCAACCGAAATCAAAATTAAAAAATAGGAATCCTATAAAGGCCACATGTATAGACATGCTATATATCATACATCACTTTTTCGTCATAAATATTATAATTTATTGAAACAGTAATTAAATTTCGACCGAAATTAAAAACCGAAATTTCGATTGTATGTCAATTTTGGCCAAAGAATATAAATTACTTCTTCAATATTAAATATTATAATTTAATTATTACAATAATAATTAAATTATGATATTATAATAAATAATAATTAAATTATATATTTAACATTGAAGAATTTATATAATAATTACACATATTAAAATTAATATTTATGAAAAAACTATATGGTTTCAGTCGAAACTAATACGTGAGTGTTCGTTTTCAGTAAAAGTTCCGATCAGACTCTAAAAAATAATAGTTAAAAAGCAAATCAGTATATGCAAAGCAAAATAGGTTGAAGGTCAAGAAACGAGCAAACTGAAAAATGCTAAAATAAGTAAATAATAATTTATGTACATAAAATAATTATAAGTAGTAAATCATTTATATAAAAGAATACAAAAAAACTCATATTATTAAGGTAAAAAGATAATGTAATGAAAGAAAAGATCTTGTCTCGAAATAGACAGATAAAATCTTATTTAATCATGCTTCGTTTCTCACCTCTACCCGACTGAGTTTCGCCCCACACAATCGGTGTAGGCCTCGCACCTCTTGCCACCCTCGGCGAGAAAGGTGATCTCGGCGATCTTCTCACTGTCATTCCTCTGGCATTATTGGCATCACTCGCTGCCGCCAGATTCGCTGCCATTGTTCTTTGTCGTGTGTTACTAGACGGCGATGCTTCCGCTTCCCGATTCTCTTCCTCGACTTCTTCTTCGACAAGTTCGCTTCCTGTTTCTTCCGTCGCTTCTGCCGTATCTACGGCATCATCCTCTCCGGATGCTAGAACTACTGGTTCTTCTTCCCGCTTTTCACCCTCCGAGCTCACTTCTGTGAAAATAAAAACAATAAAAATCACATAATCATTTTCATAAAAATTAAATTTTTTAAAAATATTTAAATTAATATTTAAAAATCAAGGTTGTATATGCAAAGAAAGGTTGAAAAGCCAAAAAAGAGCAAGCCGAAAAATGTTCGAATAAATTAATTTAATATCAATAACAGTCAAATGAGAAAGAGAGAGAGAGAGAGAGAGAGAGAGAGAGAATATTTTAAACTTTTGAATATGATTAGATTTCAATGAGATACCTTCACTTGGAGTTGCGCTAGATTCTGTAGCTTCAGTGGAACCTCGTTGTTGATCATCAACACCAACAATATGAATGCTAGGAATGTTAGAGTCCTCAATATTATCTCCAGAAGTGGCTGTTACGGTAACATGTGTTACGGTGCTCTCTTGTTCTTCAGATTGGCTGCTACTAGTCTATTGCAATGAAAATTGTAAAAGAAAATTGTGAAAATTGTGAAACATTAGTACTAATAGTTTTAATCCTTAATGTTTTCATAAGAAATTATAATAAAAAATAGAAATTTGTTTTACCGAAGGAGGTAAATCCGCAGCTGGAGAAACCTGAAGCGGTGTCGTGGGAACACTACGACCAGTTCCACCATCCTCCAGCTGTGTCAGGTCCATTCTACTATCATCCAGGCTTTCCTGGACAACAGCAGAATTAGTTGAACCAAAGA